GAATGCCATGTGAAAAACAGGCTCGGAAAAATGTTGGGTGAATCGTCTGAAACTGGCTAGTGAAAATTCCATCTTTAAAAAGCTGATTTGGTGTTGTTGGTCATGTATATTATACTGATTAAAGGAATAGTTCACCCCAAAATGAACATTTGCTTAAAATGTACTCGCCCTCAAGCCATCCAAGATGTAGATGAGTTTGTTTCTTCATGGGCACAGATTTGGAGAAATTTCGCTTGTTCACCAATGGATCCTCTGCAGTGAATGGGTGCCATCAGAATGAGAGTCTAAGCAGCTGATAAAAACATCACAATGATCCACAAGTAATCCGCACGACTCCAGTCCATCAATTAACATTTTGCGAAGTGAAAAGCTGCATGTTGGTAAGAAACAAATCCATCATTAAGATGACTTTGACTTCAAACCGTTACTTCTGGCCAAAATATGAATCTTTAATAAACCTTCTTCCGGTTAAAAAGTCCATCCCCTGTTGTCCTCTTGCATCAGAATCCACTGACATATTTGTTTAGAACTGTTTTGGACTGTTTTTGCTTGTAAATGGTGCTTGATTTCTCTCCTGATTAAGGCGAGACAACTTTGGCACTGGAGAAAGCACTCTTTTTACAGGGTTCCCACGCTTCTTGAAAGTACTTGAAAGTACTTGAATTTCAGAACTAATTTTTTATCAGAATTTTTGATTATTGATCAGAAGGCGCTCCTATTTTTATTTTTTTTAATTAGGAGGACAAGCGCTCCTAAAAAGAAAAGTAAGCATAGTGTATCAGAGAATTTCCTTCCATTTAAAAAAAAATCTCCGTCCACATGAAAACGCAAATCCGTGGTCCATGAGAAATAGTCCTGCCACTACAGCTGGAAAAAATCCTAATCAGGGAGCCGCTATCAATATGCGGGTATTGAAATCGCATTTGAATGAGCGCTCGCTGTTCACTTTCACTTTCGATTTCACGATCATGCGCACTCTGTGTAAAGGGAGCACATCTTACAGTGTGTGCATAATTATTAGGCACGTTGATATTCTGATCATATTTTTTTCCAAGCACATTTGACCAATTCCAAACCACATCAATCTTAATACCTACTATTATTTTTGTATTTAATCATTTAGAAGTTATATATAATTGTCCATGAAGGCTGGAAATAAAAAACCCCTTATTAAGGTGTGCAGAATTATTAGGCAGGTTTTCTTTTACGGATGAAATGAGCCAAAAAAAAAAATTTAACTCAGACTGAGAAGTAAAAAATGATTAAATCCCCATGAGAAATATTAAAAACTAATGCAATACAGAAATTTCAAAGTTAAGGCATGACCATTGGTCAGCAAAATGCTCATTGGGTCAGCGGGGTCAGAAAAAAACAGGTGGAGAAGAAAAGAGCATGTTAACTGCAAAAGAATTAAGAATTAATGTGAAGAATTAAGTGTGAAACCATTAAGAACCTTTTAGTCTCCAGCGCCACCATTTTCCAGAACAGCAACCTTCCTGGAGTCTCCAGAATTACAAGATGTCAGGTTCTCAGAGACTTTGCTTGGGTAAAAAATGACCCCTACTTAATAAGAATAACATGCTGAAGTGTTGTGAAATACATGAAGACTATTTTTATAGGCTTTATGGACAGATAAGTTAAGAGTGACTCTTGAAGGACCAGCACCACATCCTCTTGTACCAACCACTGTTAGAAGAATTTATCTTCTAGAATCTGGCAGTAAGTTTTAGGAGCTCATTTTTTTTCAGTCTCTGCAAGGCACACTTTTCAGGATAGGAGATGGACTAAAAATGAACTCCCAAAACTTACTGCAACATGGAGCTAAGGAGAAAATGTAGAACTTGAAAAATTGGAAAAACAGCTTAGTGAAAAGCGTTTACAGTTTAAAAGCAAATAGAAAGTCCTATTTTTTTTTCTTTTCTTTATTTTTTTTTTTGCAGATTTGCACATGTACAAGGTTTAAAATGCTCATGAAATATTTTTTTAAAATACTGACGTTTTGAGCAGCTGCATGTTTTGAGCTGCATTCCTAGGTCAAAGATGAAAAAATGGGATTTACAATAAAAAGTAATTTACAAAATTATTTTGACTTGAGTTTATTATGTATTAATGAGTAACGTCTCTTTTGAGTGAATGTGCAAATTTTTAATGTTAACACAACATTTAACCACTTTTTATTATTAAAAATTTAGAAATTCTTTCAAATTTAAATCTTGTAAAAGAACTACAGCAAAAACCAGTTTAATGCATATTTTATCAATATTTTAGAAATTTAATTTGAATATTACCAGTACTGACTTCAATGGATTTCATTAAATTCCTTT